AATAAAATAAAATTCTTATTTTTCTTCTAATTTATTATTCACTTTGAGTTTTTGTCTCTTTTACTTCTTATTTGGTTAAGTATTTTTTTTTTCATTTCTTTGTTAAATTTCTTATTTTTTCAAATAGTTTCCAAAGGAAAGTTAAATATTTTAGTTTTACTTAGCAAAGAAATAAAAAATAAAAAATTTCGAAACAAAAAAAAAACAGTTTGGCCCAGTTCGGCCCAGGGAACCGAAAAATCGATTAACCAAACTGACCGGTTCGATTTCGGTTTGGTGTTTTTAAAAAACCGGGCCTAGGGGTGTTTTTAAATTAATTATGTTAAATATATATATAATGTATTATGTATTATATATTATTTAAAATATAAGGTTTTATATATATTTATACATATTTTTATAATATATATTATAAAACTAGAAAACCAAAAAAATCAATGAACCAAACTGATGGTTAACTAAATCGATCAACCGATTAACTAACTGGTTTTAGTTCGATTTCGATTACCGATTTTCAAAAAAGACCCCTCAAATTATCCATGAGAAGAACAATACAACCCAAAACGATCTGCGAGCCAACACGGCACAGCCCGCATTTAGACGTCCGTTTTACACCTCTAGATAAGGGGTACGATGTACTACTTTATTATTATTATTTGTTGAGAAGCTGAATATCTTCCCATGTGATGTCATAAGCTCCAAGTCAATGATATGCCTTTAATTTGCCCCGGAATGGAGAGGCACGTCTCCATTAAAAATGATAATATAGATAGATGGTTAGATGATGTTTTTTCTTTTAACACAAAGGATAATGAGAAGAATGAAAAGAAAGAAAAAGAAAAAAAGGTCGGCTTAGATAAGGATTAGGAATCTTGTTCCGAAGCGAAGCCAAGCGATGATGCTTGATGGATATGCACAATAAATAAATTATAAGAAAAGCTAAGTCCTAATCTAGAGAGAGAATAAATATCTACCATCCTTGTTGGCTATGCAGAGGGCTATGCAGAGTAGTCAGCACTCAGCACATACTCTTCGCAGGATAAACCCGAGAACCCCAAGTGATTTTTTGAACAGGTAGATAAAACATCACGTTAAGAGACCCGATCTGTTCCTCGCACAAGGCGCCTCGCACCCACCTTATATGCATATCTTAGCATGCATTAGGAACATTTTTCATATTTATAATTTATTATTTACGGGAGATATTTCTAATACAGGGTGGATGTGTCTGTAAGGTGCCTATGTGTGAGGAGCAGATCCCGTTCTTCATGTCAAGCTGGTGTAGAATTAAAGTATTGGCGTGTTCAAAAATCAATGGGGTTTTGGGCTTGTCCTGAATATGTGGTTGCAGGAAATGTGTTCCCACTTTATGGATGGATTGGATACTGCCATACCGGGAGAAATTACATCAGGCACAGACACCCCACATATACATCTCAGTGTGCATTGGGAACATTACCGGGAGATTCCCAATACACGGTTGAAATGTGCTGTTGGACACCTATGTAACTCATTCCAGGAACCAGTTCCAAGGTCACTTGGAACAGGTTTGAATCTAGGCCTTTTTACATTATAACTCATCTCAGAATTCATAAATTAATTCCTCAAATGTATTTATTCCCACCCCCCATAAACAGAATCTCTCTACATTGAGAATCTTTCCCCCCTTAGCATTCACCCGAACTCTAGATCACAAGCCACTACTAGGGGTGCAAATGGATCGGATCATGACCCGGTCCAATCCAAAGTCTGATCCTATTTTGTCGGATTTAGATATCCCCACTTCAGATCTTTGGTTTGGATTAGATAATAGGATCAAATCAGAAATTACATCGAATTTGGATCACCCCTATCTGATAATATATATATATATATATATATATATATATATATTGCATTTTTATAAATTTTTTATATTATGTATATATATTTCTTATAATAATTGTATTTTTTTGTTTTTCTTTATTTAAATTATTATATTTTATTTTTCTTTTAATAATTTATTATTTTTTCAAATAAATCAAATCGGTTCAGATCCAAATATTCGACTTCCTCATCAAATTCGAATTCGAATCCATATTTGTAAGATTCATTGGATCTTCAAATCAAATTTAATTCAGATATACCCTGATTCGAATCCGATCTGGTTGTATCCTTAGCTGGGTACCACCACTCTAATTAATCGCGAGCGAACACATAAATACATGTCAGTATATGAAACATTGATTGGAGATGTTGTGAATGTGTGGCTGTAGTGTCTTATGCGTAGCATATCTATAGTCACTTGGAACTTATGTTTTTGTAAAAGACAGAGGTGGGGCATTAAGTTGCAAATCTTATTCATTCATAATTCAATAAGTATCTTTGTCAGTTTTTAACAATGGGTAGCCTAGCCGATCCCATATACTTGGAATTGGGATAAGAAATTAAGAAGAAGATGATGAATCATTCCCGGTGGACAAGGCTAAGTATCCACTCGGGCTAATTAAACAAAGGTTTACTTTTTTTTTTTTAAAAAAAGGTAATCTTGGTTGCAAAGCAGATCAATCAAGTCCTACAAATAACACCCTATTCCTTTGGCTTTTCAACCATTTGAGGCAAAGCATCTCCTTCAGGCTTCAACAAGTAATTACGGGTCTTCTTTCCTTGAATTGCAATCCAAAACATGATTAAAGATTAGAACTTCAAAATCAGTTACCATTGCAACAATCACTTCTTTTCATTTTGTTTGTGGTTCAATTACGATAGAAATAATGGGGCTATACATGGCTTACAACAAATTCAATTCACTCTCCCTTCTATTTATATTTACATCATGAAGGGTAAATTACAGATTACCATCATTGGGGTAGTGACACTTAATCCCTCAACTTTCATTTATAATAAAGATCCCCCTAAACTTTGAGATTCTAACACTTTGCACTGACTCGATAATTACCAAATTGCCATTCAAAATTAATGTGCTGACAACAACAAATATCAAGATGAGAAAAATAACCATTTTCACGCCATTGGGTTATTTTCAAGAAGGCCATTGGGTTAAGGTTAACTGTGCTTTCAATGCGATCAGACAACGCTTGCCGGTTTACGTCCCCAAATTGATATGAAAACAGGAAAGGAATAGAAACTGGTGGAGACTGTCAGCGCCAAATTCCTCATTTTTCAAGGGTTAAAATTTTCTTGAAATTCATGGAAAATCTTGTTTAATTTTGCTTATGAAATGGTTCTCTCCCTTTTTTTTCTTTATATGAAACAGAGCATCAAATGACGCCATTTTTGAAGAAGAGTATGGTCGAAACATAATCTCTTCAACTTCCTTTTGAACAAGAAATAGAGCTGGGCTGGGTTGGTTTTTTTTTTTGCATCCTTCTTCTCATTGCTCTAACTTTCTCTTAATTTCTCTTTCAATGGAAGCAACCGTCTACCCGGAAGGACTATCAGCTCCCAGTACTTCTCCTTCCGAAGACAGTATCTAATATATCAATATTACGATCCTTGGCCTGAAGCAGTCTCCGAAGGGGTTTTCAAGTTGGAATTATTGTTTCATAAATTCTCCTTATATGCAAGAGGTGCTTGATGATGTAATAAAAGCATTCTCTAACAAGTAACATTTATGAGACGTAAGCTATTAAATGGGCGTGAGATGTCTGAAATGGAAATGGAAGAATTGATCACTGAACCATCACAAATTAATCTCGTCAAGCTCTTCAACACCAACTGTTGTTCATTTTCCTCTCATGGAAAGCACAAATGATGTTACTAGAGGTGTAAAGTGGGCCGTGCCGCCCTCCCCGGTGAAAAATTTGGGGGTCGGTCCGGCATGGCCCATGGGCAGGAATGTATATCAGGCCAAAGCTATTTTTTTAAAAAGAATTGACAAAAAAAACTTAAAATTTTAATTTTATATGAATTTTGTGTATAAATTTGCTTATATATGCAATAATTAAATAAATTAGTATAAAAAATTAAAAAATATTTATTTTATTAATATATTATATACTATATATTATTATATAATTATAATATATATAAAATATATAAATATATATGGGCAGTGTCGGGCCGTACTAGGCCGGTCCAAATTCGTGCTGGGTCGTGGATAGCACAGCCCAATTTAGACCACTAGATGTTACCAATTTACCATTGACATTGAGATTGACAGAAAGAATTTGGATATCCGAACTGACACCGTCCCCACAGCCCTGGTAGTCGTGCATTGAAGATATCCCCCATGGCCCATGAATTAAATCACAAGTACGAAGATGTTCCTGATGAATGACTGCAAAGGCTATGAGGACAGACATTTTGTGAGGATGAAACCCGTGTTGACAGAAGAGACATGAGAAGATATATCACCGGTAAAAGGGGCGGAAGATGGAATGCAAAAGAAAGCAAGGAAGTCCATTAATGGTGATGATGTCATTACCTGATTTCATTAGGAGATGTGGAAGACACAGCAAAAAATAAATATTCAATGAAGTTAAACTTAAAGAATGCTAACAGAGGGGGAGGGGGTGGGGCAATATTGTTGGAATCTAGATTAGGGGCAATTCCTAATTTACCCTATTAATTATTTTGATCCGAAGTGATTTTGTTTGTGTTGCACTTTTATATTTTATTTGGGTTTTAGAGCCCAACTTGGGGAAAAATAAAAGAAAAATGCATACAAGCCATATGCATAGAATGTATAATATGTGTATGCACGCATATGTTTGTGCACTTGTGGGCCCTAATTGATCACATACATATCATAAATACTCTACGGTGTAAATGATGCTGTTTCATAATAATATATACATATTTATACATGGGAATATGGGATAAATATACATAATAATATAATAGACTTATAGCTTAGAGTGGGTTTGGTTGGGTCGGCCTTAGTCTAGGCCACAACCCAAACTTCGATCAAGCTCAAGCCTACACCACAAATCAAACATTCATTCAAGCCCCACCAATGCAAAGCCTGACATTAGGTCGGTTCAGAGTTCAGACTCGGGTTAAACCCACCAAAGTACTAGGCCGAATCGTGCTCAATTTGCCTTTCCACTTGCAGACGTCTTACACTAATACTTCTTAATAGTAACTTAAATTATACAAATACAAAATTCCTTTTTTTCTTCTTTTTGGAGAATACAAATACAAAATCAAATTGATATTTGAAGCATCTAACCTTCCTATGGCTTTTAGAAGGTGCTACAGAATCTTCACATTGAACACTGAGACATTGGGTTTCTGTGATAAAATTTTGTCTCATCTCTCAGAATGGTGTTATTTACAAGCACCTACAGCCACTGAGAATGCATTACCAAGCTCAAGTGGTTAGAAATCGCTTCCTTTGTATGGCATTTCCTGTCCAGAACACCAAATTATATAAGAGAGAGTTGCAAGCTTGTATATAGTGTAAACACGGGCAGGTAGGTAAAACCCCGTGCCTAGCATGTATTGGAGCGGATAATCTGATATCAAGAAGCAAAACTAATATATAGTGTAAACTTGAGCCTCACTAATCTGGATGAAACGATGAAACATGAGATGAAGCATATAAGTAACATAAATGAAGCTTAAGCCTCACAAAAACGTATTTATTCTTTATAAATAAGTCTTGCACTATAATGATCTTTTTCTGTGTTTTTAATGTTGCAAGAGGTTCAAGCTAAAACCCAAGACTTTTTAGCTAGAGTCACCATAGATCCCAATATGTAATGATTAGTATCCACCATTCAATTGGCCAATGCCTCAACCCTAACCTGACCCATAGTCTGGTACATATTTTCAACCCTAACCCTAATCCAAACTTCAACCCAACCCAACCTGACTTTTTTGGGTTGGCCAAAGCCAACCCAGCTCAAGTTGCACCTTTATACCTTGATTTCTTTTTGCAAGACCACTCTGTGTTCTTTTGGCCAGCCATGAATGCCCAAATCAGTCAGTTTCAGAGGTTTGATTACTTGGAAATAGCTACCATGTTGGAAATTTCAAAAATGTCATGCCAAAGCTCTGGAAGCATTCATTCATATATCTGCCAGTGATGGAACAAGCATAAACTCAAAAACTTAAATTGGCACATTGACAAAAAAAGACTTTCTACTCACATTTGAAATATCAAATATTGATTCTATTCTATTTCATCTTATTGTAATTTGTCCACATAGGTTTTAAGATTTATGCATTTCAAAATAACACATTTATTCTTTGTAGGAATGTCAAAGATTGGGGCACAGGTTATCATTAACTAAATTAATACATGAATTAAAAATTATCTCAGAAAAAGGTCAGTCCTAGCTAGAGAATTTGTGTCAATGGAATTAAAGAAGCAAAAATAAGAAAAAATTGAATCTTATTGGTTTAAGAACATTTCTGTAAATGTAAGCTATAATTGTGTAACTTAAAAAAAAAAAAAAAAGAGAAAAAAAAGGAGAAAGTAAGATTTAGTTGAAAGTTGAAACAATATAACCGTATTAGCGCCACCAGAACATTTTATAGGAAGTAAATCAAACATGTAGTTTTTTTTGGATCATGAGCTACCTATAATCTTTTGGGACACAAAACTTGGTAAGTTTGCATTGATCCTTTTTTCAATCAGTTTACCTTAATCTTATGGGACTTTGGTCTGTTTTTATATAAATTTAAGAAAAACATGTAATATGTCATGTCTCATACCTGTCTCGAGATTTTAAAAAGCCACACACCTCATGCCTAATGTTATGCTCATAGTTGTGTGATGATGCACTTTAGCTTTGCCTCTTTTCCACAAAGCACCCCCCCCCCCCAGTACATGTATTTCAGGTATCATAGTTCCATAAACTCTGTTATTTTAAGACACCTCAACTACAAGGCAACAATTTTCTATTAGAGCGAAAGCCTCTGCAACCAGGCTCAGCTACCAGAACTTACAAATTGTCGATCCATATGATAAGAAAACAAACAGTGTAGCTCCTGAACTCGAGGAATATGTTAAGGCTGAATTTTGATTGGGGCAGCTTAGGCAGCCCAGAAGCCTTAGGAGTTAGGAGCGGGGGGAGCTTTTGAAACCACAAAAGAGTAGTGAAAGATAGTCTTTCCAGGTCCAATTGGATGAAAGAACTTAATAGAGGCAGAGATGTTGGTTGTAATTCAAGGCTTGAGTTTGGGGAGATCATTGGGATTTAAAGATATTATGGTGGAAGGTGATTCAAGGAAAATAATAGGTTGGCTGAAACAAAATTGCCCAATTCCATTGAAAAACAGAAATACGGTGAGGAAAGTAAGAAGCACATAGCAAAGGAGTTGAATGCAATTTTTGTTTGGGTATGTAGATCTGCAAATGGGATGGATGACACTCTAGCAAGACAGGGGACTGATAGGGAGCAAATTTTATGGAGTGTCAAGAACACTGATGGGGATTGGTATGATGCAAGCAGAATCTCTCAAAAGCTAAGGCAGGGACAGAGTGAATATGATGATGAGTTGGGTACCACTTGTGCTCTTTGCAATGTATAGACTATTATTTTTTGATAAATAATGTATAGACTTTATTTTACCATTACTTAATAAAATTGATGATAAGTTACCAAACAAGAATATGCATATCATAATAAAAAAGCATTATTCAAGCAGTCTTACATGAGGGTAGCTTGGCATGTACAAAAATTGTCTAGGGTGGCCAAGAATCATCTGCTGCCCATACTGCAAAAAAGGGGAAAACAAAATCATACTCCATCACTTCTATGGGTATATCAAATTGATAGGCAGCATAAACTATCAATAGAAAAGTACAAAGAGAAAGGTGTAATAAAACCAAATCTGCATACCACTGGTGCACTTGGATGGATATATGCCTGAGGTGATTGTATAGATGCAGTCTGTGGATTGTAAATAACAGGCTGGTGTCCAAATGAGGGTTGAATCTGCAAACGTTGTAAAAATAACTCTAACAGCAAAGCTTTATTCAAACCATATGAATCAGCTAAATGGATCCTGCTTTGCCATCCCACCGTGGTCAACATGGCCATTCAGGACTCATGTCAAAATAGTTCTTAACTTTTAAAAAAGGATCTGAATAGAAAGTGAAGATGGGCATGCTGCTATCAAGAAAAATTAAAAAAATAATATTTATTTTATCGAAGAAAGAAAATTGAGAAAACAAAAAGAAAAGAATGTTTTTTTTACCAGCAACACAAAAATGATTTATTAATTATAAAAAGGAGTACAACAAGGAGTTGCGGCAAAGAGCAAGCCCAAAATCACTTCCAATATTTACAAAACAGCCTAAAACGTGGATTGAACTGAATTCGTAATCCACTTTATTCGGATTATCATGTCTTTAGAAACCTGCTTGAAGCACCTAAATTCATTCTTTAACTGCCAAATTACTCCTTCCCCCTTTTTCAGTCAGCCCACAACAACAAAAAGAAAAGAATGTTGTCCAGTGGAGGAATGTCTATAAACATAAAAATATCCGAATATCAAGTTTCAACACGCTCATAATGTGCCCAAGATAAATCAGATTGGGTGGAGTGAAGAACTTGTCCAATTGGTTGAGGGGGTTGTAAGAACTCAAAAATCTAATCTTAGCAGCCTTCGCCATCAATGAGAAATAACACTACTTTGTGTAGTAGGAAGATGGTACAGAAAAAAAAAGGGATAGACAATTAACTATTTAAAGTGACAAGAAAAAAAAGGAATAAGGAACATGAGTTGGTCTTCATGAGCTCACCCCAATGCCCACTGGTAAACCGTGTATATGTTGGACAGCAGTAGCATTCGGTGGGAGGTAAAAGGAACCTTCAGCTCCTGGAGAAGAAGGCCTTAAAGGTGTTTGAGATGGGATGAAACTCTTTGCATTGGGATTGAGCTTGAATTCCTGAAACACAAAATCTAATCAGAAAGCAAATCAAGACTACCAAGGAAAAATACCATGAAGGTGGATGCAGGGGGAGGGGTTGTAGGGATGTAAAAACATGAGAAAAAATGTCACCTTGGCATGGGGATTTAATGTGGACTTCCCTAAAGACAATGATCCCATGGATGAGGTTGGAGGCAAACCAGGACCACTTAAAGCTGAAGTTCCACCTACACATTCTGAAGTTGAAGATGTAGAACTACCAGGTCGTCCTTGAGAGTTTACAGGTTGAGTTGCATCATGTTCTTTGGCTGTAGAATCTGATGCTTTGCCAAAAGGAATCTCGCAATCTTGCCCCTTTGAGTGAAGAGAAGATGAAGGATCATATGCTGTGGCACTGGGAGATAACCCCCCTTTATCAGAAATAGCTTTCTTCAAGTTCAGTGTTGATTGGGCATCTACATCAGTTATGGCACTTCAACATGATTAACAATGTAGCTTTATAATTGGAAGATGCTAAAATGATACAATCAGATCAACAATTATTGCCAACATAATTACAGATTTGAACCAATTAAAAGGCATCCTCCGATATTAGCTCACCTGACTACAAGATCTATGGAAGCTATACAAAGACATGGGAAGGACTAAAAAAACAAACATTAAAGTTGAAGTTACACAGGCAGCTGATAGGTTGCAGTTTTCAAGAAAAGAGACCAAAGGTCAACAACCTGGACTCTGTTTCACATCATCCCTTTACTCTGAATTCAACATAACCAAGTAAATAATAAAAATACAGTCTATTTACATATATGCACTTATGCAGTGTTTTCAAGGGTCATTTTTTCTTGAGGAGACAACTCTAATGCCTTGGGGTTTCAAGTAACAATTAGGTGCTCATCACATTAAAGTGAGGCTGTAATTGGGTCGGATCCAAATCGATTCAGTAACATCTGAATCCAATCTGACTAATGAAAACTGAAATCTGCATGTGATCTGAAATCTGATTGGATTTGGGGATCTCAGGCTCAGATTGGATTCAGATTTAATCCAACTCAGCTTCATATATTTTTTTAAATAAAGAAAAAATTTTAAAAATTAATTACTTTTAACTTATATATAATAAATTAATATAAATATGAGAGATTGAATATTATATGTATAAACTAATATAAAATATATTTTTATATTTATGTATAATTATATAAATTTTATATATTTAATCAATATATTATAAAATAATCAGACTCTGATTTTAATAGGACCACATGGAGCAAAATCCACATCTGATCTTGATGTAGGTGCACATATCTTTGGCAGCAACAAATCTGATTATTAATCAGATGTAATTTGTAAAATCCAAATCTGACCCAATTATGTAAATGGATCATCCAAATCTAAGATAATCAAATCAGATGTCGGATTGGGTTTCGAACTTTTGGAGTCCATTGACAGCCCTACATTAAAGTGAAGCAATAAGCCATGGAAAAAAAAAAAAGAAAAAAAAAAGCTCAATCCTATTCCTAAACCTTCTCATAAGATCCACCAGGCCACCACCACTCAGCTCTAGATGTCAACTTACTTAAATATCAGATACTAAAGGGAAAATAAGGGATAGCCCTGCAATAAGTGTTTCTTAGCCAAAAAAGTCATCAGCAAAACCACTTACCAGCACTTAGTGATGTGTCAATGACCACCCGCCTCTAATCCACAATCTCCACTCTCCTTAAAGCTCTTTATTTTTTCAAGGAGGCCAATACACATGATCATAAGCCTTCTATAATGGAAACAAAGCCCTTTCCATGAGACCACCTCATCTATTGGAATTTGATCCACTTCTCTCTAAAGCTCTTTTTTTTTCAAGGAGGCCAATATGCATGATCAGAAGCCTTCTATAATGGAAACAAAGCCCTTTCTATGAGGCCACCCCATCTATTGGAATTGGGTCCACAATTTCAAATCCTTTGAAAGAAACCCCTTTCAGAAGGATAAATATCCAAAACACCTGATACATCTATTAGAAATTATTTTAAAAATGACCTCAGAAAAACTATCCACCAGACTAACACATATAAAACTATAGAGATGAGAGTGCCCAGCTTCCTACATATCTACTATTTTTATCAGCACTTGACCATGGAAGTGCTTTATTGATCCCCCCTCCCACTCTCATATGATTCCATAAACTTGACATAGGCCATCCTTTATAATGTCCCAGCAGCAATAAAATACACTGTAAATCCATTAGGACCCAGAACTGGAGTTTCATCCTTATCCATCTCTGGAATAATCCTTTAGCCTCCACATCTTTGAAAGGTCTTTCTATAGAAGGAAAATGATTGGAGGGTGCTGATCCAATGCAGTCCCTTCAAAAGGGGCCTAGGAGGAATTAATCATATAAAGCACTAAAGTACATAAAAGAATACTCTGTGATTCTGTCTTCCTATTGGCTAGTCTAAGTGAAGACTCATGATTCTTTCCCCCAAGACCAAATTTTTTTTTCTCTAACTGACCCATCAAACCCAAACACACGTTCTCTGTCACTATCCATTAGCTCACCTGGAAACTATGCGACCAAATCCATATCCTATTGATGTCCCTTCCAAGTTCTCCTTTACCCCCTCCAATCACCTTGTGACCTCTAATCAACATCAGAAATCACCCAACAGAGCTTTGACATTCTGATCATCAACTAGGACACTGGCATAGACTGTAGGCATGTTGGAGAAGACAAGATATCCTATTGATGCATTCCCTTCCAAGTTCTCCTTTATCCCCTCCAATCACCTTGTGACCTCTAATCATCCTCAGAAATCACTTTGAAACCACCCAACAAAGCTTTGGCATTCTGATCATCAACATAGGACACATGCATAGACTGTATGCATGCCGGAAAAGACAAGAGGAGTGGTGGTTATAGCAGGATTATATTGAGTAACATGAAAATTACCTAGGGTTGAGACCAGTTGAGAGTTAAGAGGAATAATGATGGGATGAAGAGCCACCTCCCACTGGAATTTCCTACAGACAAGAGGCCATGCTCCAGGATAACTTAAGACAAAATCATCATGCACTCGGTATTTGTCTGGAACTATTCCATTCAAGGTCCAAAGTGATACTTCTCTTCTAGGTTTTCTAGTATGATACTTTGAGGTGAAGTTGCAGTCACAATGCATACTAGCTAGAGTATAAACTAATTTAGCTTGGCTAGTTCTTATCCCAACCATATGGAATTGGCTACATGAGTCTGGCTCCATAATGCAATCCAGTTTAGGTCATATCTTCTGTTAAGCCATAAATTCTCATAATCATTCAACACTCACTTCCATTTCACAACTTGTTAACCATTGGACAAGTATTATAAGCTAATATTGATAATAGAATTGCAGCAAGAAGTTAGGGATTGACGTTTTGCAGGAATTCTATTAAAAATGGTTACAACTTTAAAATCAAGGACATCATTTTTTATTCCTCACCATAAAATTATGTCCCAATATCAGAAAATAGACAAAGCAAACATGTTAAACATTCATGACCACAAACATACATGGTCTAACATGTTTAACAAATAAAAATGTAGATCCTACTCACCCTCTAGTTTTGAAGGCTGCACCTCCTCACTGACCTGCATTAAGCAACATAGAGAAAACAAATATAAAGTAGATATAAGAATGCATGCATAAGCATGAAACCCAAGAAAATCAATGACAAAACTGCATAGCATGCAAATCTACAAAGAGAACACTCAATGATAATTGAAGTTAACTGACATTTTTCCTTTCCTCAAAGTCCTTCGGGAAATTATTTCCACTATTCTGTTCTCTGAACCGGTTCTCATGCAACCTAAAATTTTAGGAATGTAAGATCAGGGCTTCCTGGGTAAAACTCTTTGAGGACAACATTATTCATCTGTTATGAACTATTCATTTCCAATTCTAGTAGAACAGAATGGGAAGAAAATACATAATTAACAAAAAAAAAACTATTAACTAGATACCTGTTTTCTCCTTCCAAAGCAGTGAAGCTCTTTGAAACAAAATCTGAAGGCAACTGTTTGGCAAGGTCACCAGATCCAAAATGGCATAAATCCCTGCCAGTATTTAATTGAGTAAATTGGGCTTCATCCTGCATAATACAAAGAAATAGAAAGAAAATGGAATCTTAGATATAGATAAAGAATGCAAATGCAATTTAAACTTTAAAGGTCATGCCAAAGAGTCAAATAACCATTAAGCAACGATGAGAAGGCCAGGGGATTAACCCCAAGTATAAAACCAATTAGTAATTCTTGTAGATACATTAATAAACATGAAGAAGCAGAAGTATTAAAAAAATGACCAACAAGCAAATCCAATGAACATCTTTTGAGAGAGAGAACTATCAATAATCAGTCTTTAACTTAAAAATGAGAATAAATGGTGCCATTTATAAGCGACGAATTAGATGTCTGAGAAAGTCACAGTATGTACTTTGGAAGAATATTACGTTGAACATTTCCAAAAAGATGCCAGGCTTAGGGTTGGTGCTGGTGATAGGAGAACAGATAGGAAAAACTCCTAAGTTGCTTCTTCTGGGCTCATGTTGTAAAGTTCATAGGGATCAAAGTCCACAACTAGTACCAGCAAGCACATCTGCAGCCCAGGCCCAGACATCTACTGGCCAAGTGGCTGCTCTAGGCAAGAGGGTGAGTACTACTCCACCCATAACTTTGTTTACTCAAGGAAGCCACGTCAGAACAAGTAGTTGCTGAAAGAATATTCTCATGTAACTGGATATAAATACCTGTTCAAACATCATGAAACCGGATTCATGTAGCCAACCTCATATAGTTGGGAAAAGGCTTAGATGATGATTTGTGCAAAATGCATTTTATACTTCCTTTTTTTTGTCTGTTTGGAGGAATAAAGTGTAAACTATGATACCCATGTATCTGTACCAGGGTGCCATATCATTCCCAATACTTCTTCTTATAGCATAAATTTTGTATCTGATTCCTGATACTTCAACTTATAGCGTAAATTTTGTATTAGATAACTTATCCAACTATATCCTTGTCGTATCTGAGTAACATAGAGTGTGAAGTTATTCTACAGGATCTTGGTTTAGATGATCATACTTATACATGCTCCTTTGAAATACTACATGTCACAAAGTAGGAGAAGGAGAAAAAGAAGGCACAGGTAGGTGAGAGATGATTCTTCTTCAGACAAACATCTCTATTTTGATGAATATTTTGTACTTCTATATTTTTGTCCCAGTTCAGCAATTAAATATGCTATGGAGTATTTCATTGTGGCTATCTTTCATGCAAGGTTCCAGAACCCTTCTAGAAAAAATGTTTATTTTAATACCATGCAATTCATAGGGTGTGAATTTCAATTCTTATCCTGAGGGCCTTTTTCTCAATAGCCAGTCTTTTTGTGAACCCTTCCAGAAAAATGTTTATTTTAATACCATGCAATTCATAGGGTGAATTTCACTTCTTATCCTGAGGGCCTTTTTCTCAATAGCCAGTCTTTTTGTAAAGAACGCCAACTGCCATGTGTAACAGCTCAATGTACATGGAGGACACCACCCTTTTTTGTGATTACTACAATATCCTTACCTTCTTCAAAAAAATGCAATTCAAGCTAAATGTGTCTTTTGAGATTATTACCACTACTAAACCATAGAAGATCGTATTATGCAAGATTAAATGGCAGAAAGCTCAACTCCTTAGCTATCCTTACCAATAAATACAATATTTTATAGAAAGAAAATGGTCACAGGGCTACCATTAATGAAGAGCTTGATGATGCATGAGTTCCATCATTGGTCTTTCCTCTGACCACATCTGAAAAGGACCTGCTAATGACAGATCCAGAAGAAGCTCCAAAGGTATCAGAATTATGTGAATCCAATGCTGAGTCCTCACTTTCTTCATATCCACTATCATCAACCCCCCTGAGTACTGATGAGAACCTGGCCTCCTCATCATAGTCATCATGAAAGTTAAGGCCTCTTTCCTGTTGAGTGGATCAGTAAAAATGTCAAAACTTGATAGAATCAAACAAGAAGAAAGCAAATCAGACAATAAGAGCAAAGGAAAGCATGATAAGTAGGTAATTGGTCACCTCAGCTAAATGAAGATCATGAGTTTCTTCATTCTCGATTTCTCTTGCTATTCTTGTAGCTTCCCTTTCCAATTCTCTCATATGAGGACCTCTCTCAAGTTTTGTGGTATAAAATTCCTCATTAAAGGTGCTCTTTACTCCAAATAATGATTTGTTAGCTTCAAACTGATCCCAATTCCTTGTTAAGAAATAAAAAAGGAAAAAAAAAATCAACCAATATACAATAGGAAAAAAGAGGAAATAGATGCATTAAAGACATTTCAGATGGAAAAGAAGACAAGGATGAAGATTATGATTCTTAAAGAACCGTACAACCTAAAAGTTTAAGCTCTTAGGTGAGGTCCTTAAATAGGTTTTTATTCTCTAACAGGCCCCCTCGTACAAAAGTCTATTGGGCTTGAAGCATGGACAAGCACAGGCCAGCCCATACCTTATGCTGAACTTTAGTTAATTATAATGGGGCCAGCAGTGATTGAACACTAGATCACTTGGTCAAACAGGCTCTGATACCATATTAAAGAACCATTCAACCTAAAAGCTTAAGCTCTTAGGTGAGGTCCCTGAATAGGTTTTTATTCTCTAAAAACGATTATCAATTTTGCATGGGATTGACTCCATGTCAAGGACATGTTGGAATACCATGGATTCTTAAATGGATGCTTCTACCTAATGTTTTTCTCTTTTTCTTTCTTTGCTTACTACATAAATGAACAGCTAAGAACAGTACAGACAACACTTTCTTTTGAAGAAGGCACCTTGCCCAAGCACCTTGACTTTTAGCAACTATGCGCCCTTCTAGGCAACTAAGCGCCTGCCTAGGTGACAAAAATGACAAGGCGGGCACTTTTTATAATATCATTTATATTGTTGTATCATATTAAATTATTAATGTACGTGTTAATACATTTTATTATATATATATATATATCAATTATACTTTGTTTTAATGTTTTACTACTGAAATTTAAAAGATCAAAGGGTTTTGAGGAGAGAGAAAGAAAGAAAGAAAGAAAAGAAAAGAGGAAAGAAAGAATAGAATTATAAAGAGGTTCTTTTTTTCTATTCTCTCTCTCTCTCTCCCCCTCCCATTAAATAAAACAGAAACTCCATCCTTGTTTTTTCTATTTTACTTTCCCATCTTGAATATTTATCATATAAAGTTAATAACCTTCTTTAGCTGTTAATTGATATGAAATTGCTCTATTAAATACTTATTATAGTAGTATTGTTTTTGAAAATAATGAAATTAATATATGTAAAAGATTTTTATCTTTTAGATGTGATGATTTGCCACATTTTAGAGGAAATTTAATGTTCTTAATAAAGAGAATTGCTATTTTTCATTTATACATGCTGAATGGTATATAAAACTAGGGAATTAACCAAAAGTTAGTTTTTTATATTATAAATTTTTTATCGCCTAGGTGAATAGGCACCCCAGTGTCACCCAGAATCACCTAGATGCCTTGAAAACTATGGATACAACAGAAAGCTAGGAATCCCATAACAAGACAGTTACAATGCTGAATCAGGGACCGATCAGCAAACTCTTTGGATACAGAACTCCAAGAAACAATTCTGCATCAACTCCTCCACACATTTAGACTAGACTAAAAACAACCATCTATTCCTTTCAGTCCAAATGATAGCTGTTGGGACTAGCTGTCAAACAAATGTGAAATGTCACTTTTTTATCAGTAAAATGCCACTTATATTTGAAAAATGATATCTGTATTGTGTATTATCCGAAGGCTGTCACTTTTTTTATCAGTAAAATGCCACTTATTTTTGAAAAATGATCTGTATTGCGTATTATCCAAAGGCAAAAGAGAGTATGATTACATTCACATTCTAGGGAAATCATCTGAAGTGCTCAAAAATATTGATTTATTTGAATGGTAGACCAGCCTCCATGGCCCAATACCAACCATTTGGCCCCAAAGTATTTTGCTGACCAAGTCTCCTTTAATAACAGGGGAGTATGTAGCTGTTTAGCTATACCAGTTCCTATGTATAGCTCACATGCCTGTTCGTGTCATCGAGCTACTATAAGCCTAGAAATTGCACCCATCAGATTGGAGAGACCGCTCCCTCAGAAAAAATGCTAGAAGGCCTTAGGTCACGTCTAGCACTACCATCAAATTGCAACTGCGATTTACTATCAGAAGGTAGGAATGTAGGATAACTCTACGAGTCACTAGGGGAGAGTTTAGGATTTCTAGTAGATTCCTCAAGTCATCACAAGAGAACTTTTTGAATTCTTCTGCTGCCAGCACCTAGGAACTGAGGGAAAGGATGTGTTCCCTTAGTACTTCCAAAGATGCTTCCTTATATTCAAGAATTCATCTATTTCTCTCTTCCCACATGTCCCACATCTATCCTCTAAATTCTCCTACCTTATGGTACAATATCCTTCATATAATTGATCCTGTACTTGATATTGGTCCTAAATTACATATCTTGTTTTAACAAGGATCATATACCATTGTGCAAGCACTAATTGGAAGGGTTGAAGACACACTAAGATGACAGGTGTCAATTCTCAAGGCCTTTGACAGTAAGTCAGACAACTTTAATGGTCATTGAGACAGCGACGTCATAATTCATCATTTGGTAAATAGAGGATTCATTTGTACTCCACCTTGTTTTTTTTATCAGCACTCTGCCTTGTATTTTCTTGTGGTTCCCATAGTCAAGTAAAATATTCCATACTGTTATGTAGCACCCCCTTTTGTATCAATAATTGAAAACACATTGCATTAGGTGAAGCCTCAAACCCAAGAAAGGGACCGAGGAACAATAGAAGAAACAGTCCAAGGCTGTCCTAAGTAAAACTTCTTTTAACCACACTATTTTCCAACATTAACCCCAGGCCTCAGACCTCCAAAAAAGGAATCCGGATTAGCTGAACGCTTTAGCTGTGTAGCAGGCTGTGGAACCAGTACAATGCTCAACGCCAGTGATAAAATCCATGGGGCCCACAGGGAGGGATGAATGTCTGTGGGTCTCATGTATTTTATGACCGGTCTGGAGCATTATTATTGGTTGCACAGCCTGCTGAACAGCTATTGTGTTCACCTAAACCTATCTCCCAAAAAAGATCTTGCTAGTGCATCAGCAAGCTTATTAGTAGATCGAGGAGCCCACATGAACAAGCAGTTCAAGTTGGACATCAACAACTTAGCCTCTCTAATCAAATGATTAAGAGCCCATGGACCTGAGTCTGTCAAAGTAAATCAAGAAATGACAACTTTGCAGTGACCTTCCACTGTAAAATTTGAGAAGCTGTGAGAGAAAGCCAATCTAAGACCTTGAAGCAAAGTAAGCGCACGGCACTCGAGGAATTGTTCACTGCAATAGCACCTGAGTACCTAAGCAAAAATGAGCCAATTTCATCGCTCATCACCTCACCTAGCTTGATTGCCCTGGATCTCTTATCACTCCACCTAGCCATTTCCTCCTTTTAGTTAATACAATGTACAACTTATCCAAAAAAGGCTCATGTCTCATGAATATAACCATAGGCAACTTTGTGTAAGTCAACATTGTTGACTACATCAGTGCTAGCCAATGCAAGAGAGATTTGGTACTTTTGTTTCTATTCAACCAATGATACCATTAAAATTTCAATAAATATGAATGACACCAGTGTTCAGTCTAAATATCAATTTAACATAAGTACTGGATAAAGGAATACAGAGATCCCAATGTCAATCCGTTTCTCAACACCCATATCTTTGAAAGTTCAACAACTTAAGTATGTTGATGCATGGCATCAAACACTTTGTTAACAATAGCAATTAATGGTTAACCGGTAAGCAATGTCCAATATCTATTCCATACCACTGTCTTATATAGAAGAAATTGGTTAGTGATGAAAAAAGAATCAGTGTTAAAAGCTCCCCAAATTACAAATCTCAAACTTCTATCTGCACAGTCCCACTAAAATGACATAAACATTGTTATGTACTAGATTCAACAGCCTCACCCAAACTTACATAAATTAATTTTTTATGTAAGTTCACTAATACCAAAAGTATCCCTCAAACTATATATTAGAAACTAGGACAAACCAGGAGAATGATACAAAAATTACTAGTAGTAATTTTGAAGAACTTTATTGGCCCACGTGGGGAAGGAAACTCATTGAGGGCTGAAATCATTTGCTCCTTCAGGGTCTAAAGCTAGCTTATTCTTCGGGTTGGTCAAGCTTAGATGTGGAAGGAGATTGCCAAGTGGAAATTAGTTGGATGGAGAATAAGATAACCCTTGGATAATATGACACTATAAGAAAAGCCCAATATTTGGAATCCAACATGAACTTCTTTCCAGATGGATAGTTAAAGCAGAAAAGTTTATGGCAAACAGGCAAGGTAAGGAATAACAAGGGAGAATCTATTATGGCAGGAACCAGGTCTGGGAATCAATGTAAACCAAAGTGATAGTGAATTGTTATAATGCATATTGGACAGCCCTTGAGCTGATTGTACTGTGCTTTCACTTTCCTCTTCATATGATAAAAAGGATTTTCTCCCTTTCTTGAGTTTGTTTTAATAAAATTTACCATGGTTAACAATTAAAAAAAAAAATCAAGCATGCTGTATTAGATGTGCATATGTACTCAAAACAGACAAGAAACCTTAAATGCAAAAGAAGCAGCAAATTTTTCCACAAGCAAGGAACGAGGTAAGCGTGTGACTTAATGTCCATTACCTTTTTCTCTATCCTTTCAATCACTCCCAATAATTCATTATGGCCAGAGTCATCAGACAGGGAAAAAAGAAGGTTTCCCTAGATAACATTCAGAACACAAAATGCTGCACAACAGGCTTCAGAAATAATATCCAACTTCTGAAATGCGTCAAAGCAAGCCCCATGCATCAAATTGACAAAGATGCTCATGTGCACCACGTTACATCTCCCAACTTCTAACTCCATATTCTCCTCCAAGAAATCACTAAAGTTTGATCAATAAAA